TCCTTGAAACTTTGCAATACTTATTTTTGAAAAAAATACATATTCCACCACATCAACGAATTTCGTCCTTGTAACTCTATTATTTCAATACCTATTCTTCCTTGCTAGAAAAAAAAATTTATTAATTTTTTAATTCTACATAACTATCTCCTTCATTTGGAACCCTTATTGTTATACTACATTGCGCTGAATCTTTTAAATAGATTTTGGAGCATCATATCTTTGAAACTACAAAGTTCCTTAAAAAAAAAACCTGACGCCAAAGAAAAAAATTAATAAAAGCAGTTTTACTACATTTCGCCCTAAACTTCGTGAGTATATTGATTGCTTCGTGTGTTTCGAAATTTTATGGTTTTTGTCGCACCGTGTAATCTGCCTTGCAACCAGAAATATTTACGTTTTTACTCATCTTCCATAATCTTATGCATCTCATATTAATTAATCATACATTTTTTGTTCTGTTATAAATAGTACTCATATAATTAGTATATGGAAAAAACATAATGGAGCATAAATTATATGTATCACGCATTGCGCAGTTTTTCGCTGCAATTTGTACAAATTAAGATGACGGCATTGAAAATTTGCACGCAATGTGATACCAAATAAGCGGCTTTAGTTATAAGTAATGCAATTAAAAAACAATTCATGTTGCTCACAGATATACATAAATAGTTGCTCATGTCATAATTAAATAATGAAAATGCGACACTTCATCGATAACATTTTCATTATAGCTGCAATTAAACTTAAAAAATTTAAATTTTTATATAACTATAAATAGTTCAAAGTTGAAAAAAATTTAAGTGTTTAACACTTGCTTTGGGGGTTAAGCTCCTAGTGATTGTTGAAAATAAATAAAATAAAAACAAAACCTCTAAAGTGTGAACGTTTTAAAGGTTAAACTATTTAAATGTGCGAGAGTAAAAAAAATAAATTTTTCAAAGTTTTTGTTGCATGAGATTGAAAATGAGAATGTGTGTGTGAGTTTGTGTGTAAAATTTTAAAATTGAATTGCTTGCAAACGTCAAGAATTTGAAAAATACCTCTCAGCGGTTCTACCGTACTACATTTCTATCGTGGTATGTATATGTCATAGAAAATAGTCAAAAATTATAAAGTTAGCATTAAAAAAAAAAATCTTAAACGAAAATATAACTATCAGGTATACATACAGATGCGATCAACTAATTAGCAACGAAATTGAAAATGATATTGTATGCAAATTGGGTTTATTTATTTATTATACCCGAGCGCACTTGTGCACAAGGGTATATTAATTTTGTTCACATAACGGTTGTTTGTAACAGCCAAAACGAATCGAGATAGATATAGACAAATGTATACATAAATGATCAGAATGAAAAGAGAAATCGATTAAGCCATGTCTGTCTGCCCGTCCGTCTGTCCGTCTGTCCGTCTGTCCGTGTACACGATAACTCGAGCAAAAATTGAGATATCTCAACGAAATTTGGTATGTAGGTTTCCCTTAATCCAAGGTAGGTTGCTATTGAAAATGGGCGAAATCGGACTGTAACCACGCCCACTTCCCATATAACGGTAATTTCCAGAAATACGAAAACTGCGATATTTTAGTAACTACTGAAGATAAATCACTCAAAATTGGTATTTACAATAATTTTTTGACAAAAAATAATAATATTATACATTTTTGGAAAATAGGCGTAGCCACGCCCACTTATGGTTACATGTGTATATCTTGGTAACCGCTGTACCAATTTCTCCCAAACTTG